TGCTTCTGTTCAAAGTTTCTCAGTTTTTGACTGATTAGATTTGAGACTCCTCATGATCCCAGAGACCTTTAAAAATCAAAGTCGTCTCCACCTGCTGAGGAGACTGAGGTCCTTTGGAGTGAGCAGGATCCTGCTCAGGACCTCCTATGACACTGTGGTGGCGTCTACTCTTTTCTATGCAGTGGTCTGCTGGGTAGCAGGGAGCACAGACAGGGATAGAAAGAGGCTAAATAGAGCGGTGAGGAGGGCTGATTCTATTTTTCTATTTTTCTTTTCAGTGTAAATACCATTGTTATTAATTATTGTTATCTTCATGTACTTTTCTTTCTATATTTTTGGATGCTGCTGTGGCATATGAATTTCCCCCAATGGGGGATAAATAAAAAAATATTCTATTCTATTCTATTCTAAACTCCGAGCATGCTGCTGTGTGCCTTTCATTCAGAGTGACTTCCGTCTTACCTCTGTGCAGTATCTTTACATGTGCAATATTGTAATTTAAACTGTTTTCTCATTTATTAGTCTGGTTTAGGCGAGTTTATGTCACTTTTACACAGTACTTTTTTACTTAATAGTACTTTTATACTTTCACATGTAACATTTTATTTCAAATTTCTCAGATTTAGATTTCTATATTTATTGCCTGTCTTGCTGTTGTTGTTGTTGTTGTTGTTGTTGTTGTGTACCACAGTGTCAAATTCCTTGTGTGTTCGAGCTCACTTGGCAGTACAAGCGTTCTGTATTCTATCTTGCCTCTCTGCCACAAAGGCCTGGCTGATGGAGTCCTGCTGGGACAGAGGCCCTTCCAGCAGGTTCTCCCATCACTGCAGAGGACTTCTACAAAATCTGTTAGATGCAGTTTGGTTGGATAGCCAACTCCAGAAGGAGGACTGGTGGTTTCAAACGTGTTCCAGTTCACGCGATTAGTCACTGTGTTCCTGGAAACACTCAGAAATATGTCTTGTCGCAGGTCAATTCTCTGTCGACCTCGACTGTAAAATGAGAGTTCTTTGGACTTCATTTCTTGTTTTTTGTCCCGTCATGCAGCGTGACTTGTGAGATCTTAAATCAGGGGTGTCCAATCCTGGTCCTGGAGGGCCACAGTCCTGCATAGCTTAGATGTTTCCCTCTTCCAACACACCTGATTCAAATGATCAGGATCGTTATCAGGCTTCTGCAGAGTTTGATGATGAGCTGATCATTTGAATCAGGTGTGTTGGAAGAGAGAGACATCTAAAACATGCAGGATTGTGGCCATCGAGGACCCTTGTCTTAAACACATGAGTTTTGTTTTCTGAACTATATCCAATCCATTCAGGTGGATTTCAGTCAAGTTCTGGACACATCCTAATTATTATTAAAGCAAACAGATGCACGTGACAACAATTTGGAGGTGCAGCAAAGGATCTGAATACTTATGGAAATGTGAAAAGTGAGAAATTGTGCTCAAAGTTAGAAAAAAAAAAAAAATCACCACTGGACACTGAAGTTGTACTTTGCTGTATATCAACATGGAAAAAGTGCCCGTTATTAGCAACGAGGTTTGAAAGCCCAAACATTTCTGGAGGTCCTTCTGACTTCACAGGGGACTTCTGTAGTACATAAATGACTAAATGAGCTGATGTCTGGGTTTCAGAAAGGGTTGTGAAAAAGTACCACATCTTCAATAATGCGCAGTATCTTACCTGACACTCTGGTTGGTAGGGTGTGAAATCTGGAATAACAGGTGTTGGCACAGGAGGAAAGATCCTGTTCTTGATTCTAGATATTAGAAGAGAGCAGAAGGTTGTTGAGAACAGAGCCACATGTGAAGAAATGCTCAGTTTGAAGGGAAATGCATACACACTGTATTAATCTGTTCAGTCTAAAAGATAGAATCTTAAACTTAGGGTTCACCTCTTCAGGATAACGGTGCACAGTATTGTGAGCAAAAAGAACACGAACAGCAAGCCGAAGCTCAGCCACACTAACACGGGAGAGAAAAGGAGCAGAAAGAAGGAGAAAAATGAAAGAAAGTGGGTGATAAGAAAATAAAATGACTTGATTGATGTGTGAACATTACAAGAAAAACAACAGAGAGGTGATCCAGTTGGTCTCATACCATTCAGATGCTTCTCTGGCCACGTGTTGATAGTTACTGTGCTTTTAGGTCCTTCTCCCATCCGTGTCACTCCAGCCAGGCTGATGTTGTATTTCGACCCCGGCGTCAAGTTTTCCAGACGGTGTTTAACCGCTGAGGCTGATATGTTGTAGCACACTGATCAAATAGAGCTTCGCGTTAGTTCAGACAGGCACGGAGTCAGGGTGTCACATGGCCCCTCCTGTCCAATCATCATCACTGAAGTCCAGCCCACCCACTTAGCGTGCTTTATAACTGAGGCAGCGTTCATTCATTCTGCCCGCTTCACGCTCACCACATCGCTGCTACTCCAGCCTCTGCAGATCATCAAATCTCCTCCTCCTCCCCAACCACCACCTTTTAAAAACAGTTCAATCTCATATAACCACGGTGTTTCCCATATCGTGGGACTGTAGGTTGCAGATGGTTCATTATTGTACCTTGAACTATGTAATCTAGATTCTGTAAGTGAGACTATTTAGTTGGTCTCCTGTTCTCATGTACATGCTGTATTCGAAAAATTGTAAATTGCAAATTCTTGGCTCTGCGGGGGTTTGTGATCTCAGGGATTATCTGCATCATGCTTGCGCAGATCGTTCCAGAGCATCACGAGCAGAGTCATCGCCAAACTAAATGTGATCTCAAATAAATGGTTAAATTTGACAAAGTGTCCTGTCTGAAATGAGACGTGAAAAAAAACGTACACAAAGTTTCATCAAACATGGAGATGTAAGCGTTATCGGGAAATTCCTTTTTGTCACATATTGCAATTTAAAGTTTACAAGACGAACAGTTACAGATGAGTAAATAAAGTGACTTTCACACCTTCTGGCTCGTCCTGTGAGCTGATCTTCACTCTGCACAGGCTGTAGTGTGTGAGAAAGCCTCGCTGGCTGTTGTAGGGAATCGCCTTCCAGGACAGGTTAGCAGAACTTTGTGCTTCGCTAAAGGCTATAAAGTCCTGAGGTTCTTTGACTGGCTCTGAAACGGAAAGGGAAAATGACACCCTTTACAGTGTGTGGAGTCAAGGTGTGCTGTGCTGACGTACTGATGAGCACTGGATGAGTACGTGTGATCCACAACAGTTTCTTGTTTAGTTTCATGTTAAGCACCTTCACAAGACTGGACCACATTTTTCCATTGAGCAGGTCTGAAAAGAAAAATGATCACAGCTTGCGACTCTGTGAGGCTCCTTTTTAGAAATGCTTCAAGCTAAACTCTGATGCAAACAGGCTCACGATATCATACTAAACAGTCTGCATTTATATGGTGCTTTTCATAGGGCTTTACAATGTTTTCTGTTTATCCACACACACAGGCCGGTGGCAGCAGGGCAGCCGTGCAGTGTGCTCGCCTGCTGCCATCGGCCACATGAGCTACAGCCGCCCCGTACATTCTTAATACAGCTGAGGCTGGTGGGAATGCTGC